TTTTTTTTTTTAATTGACCCTGATAGTTTTGAGAAATATTAGTCAGGTACATTGCCGCTTCTTGAAATTTGTCTGATGTTTTTCTCAAGATTAGAATGGGTTGTGGGTGTCTGGGGAGAAAGACCACAAGGGTAAGGTATCATTTTCATCACATCCTGTCAAGCTTATGTGCCATCAACAGCGTTTGGTTTTAACCTTGGTCACCTGGCTGAAGTCGTGTTTGTGAGGTTTCTCCAAGTTGGTTCAAATTAAGATCAGAGGGCTGTCAGTGAAAAGGGTGAGAGACAGGAATCTGGAAGTTTGTTGAAGATGCTAGTCAGGCGCCCACCCTTGGCCCCACAGTTTGGGCCCACGGCAGACGCTGGGCATGCTGGGAAGTGTCTTGGGCTTTCTGTGTCTGCATTTTCCCGTTCGTCAGGTGAGGAATTGAGGTTTGCTCTCTAACTGGAGTTGGGGGAAGATAAGACCAAGTGATCTAAAGTCACTTGGGTTTCTGACAAGCACTTTGTGCTCTTTGATGCAGAGTTTTTCCATGTTTACCAATACACAGTCACACCGCGGTACCATCTCCCCTTTCATGGCGTCCTCGCCATCCATAGTCCTTCCTGTTGCATCCACAGTTTGGGTGCAGGGATTTCTGCTGTGTGCTTTTTCTTCATACAGGAGCCTGTAGAGGGCTGGATGATGATGTAGAAAAAATACCAGCAACTGTGGGGACTCACTTCACTGACAGTTTGGTTTTGTTAATGATACTTGTCTCCTGTGGGCAAGTGCTCCTGTGCCCCAGAGCAGGCATATGCTAGGGGAAATAACCTTTCCTAGGAAAAGTCTCATTTATACCAGAATCATCTGTGTCTCTAGCCAGGTCCAACTAATTTCCATCCTGGTCCTCCCTGCTGCTGGGGATCTTGCTAAGTTCATTTCTCTTGGCCTCAGTTTCCTCATCTGCTTAGTGGGAGGTGAGAGTGCATCATCTCAAACATCCTGTCCAGCCTGAAAAGTCTATTCTGGTGCAATCTGAGGGCATTGCAGGTCTCTGTCTTTTTTTTTTTTAGACAGAGCCTCAAGCTGTCCCCCTGGGTAGAGTGCTATGGCATCACAGCTCATAGCAACCTCAAAGTCCTGGGCTCAAGCGAGTCTCCTGCCTCTGCCTCCCAAGTAGCTGGGACCACAGGTCCCTGCCACAATGCCTGGCTATTTTTTGGTTGCAGCCATACTTGTTGTTTGGTGGGCCCGGGCTGGGGATTCGAACCCACGTGAGCCACAGGCGCCGAGCCACAGGTCTCTGTCTTGTTGTTATCCTTTTACATTTTGGTTTGCTCAGTGATTCTTTCAAAGTGATTTAGTTTATGCCTGAGGGTAACGTGCTTTCCTATGTTAGCCCATTTCAGTTTCCAACATGTAATGCAATTCATCACGCTGGAGATGTGAAATTAAAAGACTTACTCTTTGAATTTCTTTGATGATGATTTGGTGCAGTGATTATTAGCATCTAGCACTGGAAAGTGATTATATTAACACTGAGAAATTAAAGAAAACACTTTATCTTAAGGATGAGGTATGGTAACTGATACCCAGGTCCTTAGGGCTGGAGAGAGGGGCTGTTTCACTCACGTGAGCCACCCGTGTCCTGTCCACATTCACAGGCGC